AATAAAAACAAATGGCATAACATTTGGATTATCATGACCATCTTTATTATGGCTTGTCAGTATCATTTTAATATTACATTTTGATCATGAATGAAAGCAGTTATTTGATTTCAACATGCAGATACAGAAAGAAAAGTATTCCCACATTGCTGTGTAAGTTATAATTCAATGTATGTGAATTCTCCCGGTCATATTATTTTTATTTGCAAATGTCACAATGATCTATTAGCCATGTAATTGCTTAACTAGAAGGACAGGAACCTGGTAAATTCAGCTCATGAAATTCACCTGACAGCTGGTAGTAATGTTTTTTTTAAAAAGTAACTATTATTTCATTGCCTATTACCTAATCTACATATTAAATGCTAATAGCTTCACATAACTTTTAATTTTGATTTCTATGTTGTGTCCTTTTAAATTCTGCACTCTGCACTGAATTAGCCCACAAGAGGAATGAGGTGTACACTGATACACAGCTCTTTCACTCAGCTAACAAATGTGAAATTCTTAATGTTCCCATTGTAATGTTGAAAATAACATCTTGCAGTTGAGTGCCTCCTTATTTGGATGTCAGCTTTCATAAAAGTCACCGGGGGGCTGTGCAAACACCTGCTAATGGGCCACACTAAGCTAATTGCAGTTCCCATAACTGTGTCGTCATGTGACACTGAGGTCACACAAAAATGCATCTGATTGTTTACAATATTTTGCTGCGTTGCTGTTACTTTCTCTAAAAATACGGATATTTGACGAATTTAAAGCTATACAAACTAGTTATTTTCCAGTGTAGCTGTGTTGCATTTGATGGGTGAGATCAGTATCAAATTATTCCTCATGGGTGATTAGCAAGTCCACCCTCTAAGTGCCATAAATGGTCTTCTGGCAGGCTTTTCTAAACTCTGGGGAAAGAGCATTAAACATTTAGAAATGATGAGGCTAAGACATCCTCTTATTGTGCATTAAGTGTTTTTGGTACACACAGTACTTGCACTGACTCGTTTCTATATAATCCTGAAAAATTGGTGAGTATGCTATCTTGAGAATTAACTATTAATAGTTATTAATTTGAATAATATCTAAAATGACTAACTTGAAATGAGAGGTTTTAGGATCATGATTAACAATCCTCTAATAAATATTGTTGGCAGCATAAAACTGCAGCTTCTTAAAAAGTTTCCCCATTTTCATTTCCTTCCAGGTCAGCAAATTATCACAAGATCAAAAAATACAATGTAATTTTTGAGATGTTTGATGAAGAAGGAAATGGAGAAGTGAAGACACAAGAGCTAGAGAGGATGATGAGTTTAACTGGAATCAATCCTACCAAGAGCGAGCTCATCCAGATGGCCAAAGATGTGGACAAAGAAGATACCTGCAAAATTCCTTGCTATGGGAATAAAAACCCTCTGTCTTACTCTGCAGAGTTCTTGAGCTACCCATAATTTCTCCATATGTTCTCTATAGTGATCTTAGACTGAAGAATAGCAAATATTTTCTTTGGCCATTGGCTGCTTTTTCACTCATTTTCAGCCCAGTTCTTGCCCCTGACCATTTTCATAGGATTTTTCTTTTGTTTGTTAAACCATTTCACCTCAACATACATTCAAGCATTAAAAAAGCACCAAAGTCAAGAGGTGAACCAGTGTTGTGTCTACATGTAACAGACAACGTATCTTTGGGCACTTTGTTACTAGCAGCTCTTCTCAAAAATGCAAAATTTGTTCTAAAAACGAACTTTGAATGTCCTCCAAGAAGCGTGGAAAACATTTCTTGAAGACTTCTTAAAGAAATTACAAGAAAACCTGGCAAAGAGAGTTCAGGCTGTGTGGAAGAATGAAGGTGGTCATACCAAATATTGACTCTCAAGTGTACAAACACCGTTTCTGCCTTATATACTAAATTTCAAATTATGTTTGAACATGTTTCAATAAATCACTGCACCTATTCATCATTTTCTTAGCAAAACATGCTAGGTATGGCATGGCTCAAGACTTTTGCAATGTACTGTATCTATCTAGCAAGTGGACATAGAACTTTCTAAGGTTCTACTTCTGTTGTCTGCTGATTGAGCTTTAATCAAGTTGTTGCAGTTGTTATGCTTTATTATACTGTGTTGCACGTAAACCGGTTCTATTTACATACTTTAGAAATGTCTTTTTCTACATCCACTGCACATTAATGTGCGCATTAGTGGAAGCTTCATCTCTTTAGAATCAGCCCAAACCAGACAAGTAAAATGCTGTAGCGATAATGTGGCTTATTCAACTTAGGAAAAGTGCTGATATGAAATTGCTGTTTGGTGTTTGTTGATCTGATAAATTAATCTTAAGATATTTGTGGTATTATCCTTTGTGCCTATTCGGGCCCAGAATTTTAATACACATCTTAATCGATTAAGGATTTATGAAGCAGCTTTCCCAGAGAACAATAATATTCCAAAATGCATTTAAAAACATTATGTATGCCGCAGTCTTACTGCAGGTTTCTCTGTGAATCACTAGGTGGCATTGTTTTACAGTGTGTAACCTGAGAAGTGTCTAGTGGTTTTATGATTATTTGCATTGCCGAATCTCCCAAGCAACCGAAAATACACACACACACACACACACACACACACACACACACACACACACACACACACACACACACACACACACTCACAGAGTCCAACATTTAAACTATTAAATTATACATTTATTTGTTAATTTTTGTAGAAATGAAATGCTCATTGTTCCTCAGTTGTTCCTAGTGTGATTTAAAAGTTTCTTGCATTTGTGAAATGAATGATATAATGAATTAACCATTATATGACCTGTGATGCACTGAAACACTGCATTCCTGGGATTTAACTTATGCTGAAGTATAGTTTTCATGTCACTTTAACTTAGCAAAACTGTGTTAGTTATGTTATGTGTCATTTCATCTGAAGAACTGGAGGAAATATTGCAATTTCCTTTCCTGTTTCCGATTTCCTATTGTCTTCCCTGCTCTCTTTACACCTCCCTCCTCCGTTTTCTGTCTGAACCAATGCAAGCTGAGACATACCCACAATTTTGATATATATCTGTAGAATACATCCCTTTAAAGGAGATATATTGCTTGGAGAGGATCTTCTTTAGGTGTAGTTATTATGTACTGTGTAATTAAAAGGGTATATGTAGCCCCTATACATGTAAATGTATTGATTTTTTTTATATATGCATAAAAATCACACATGGAGCAGATTAAAATGTATTATTTTTGCGATGTTTCAGGAAAAAGAGTATTTAACTATGAAAGCTTTCTGGGTCTCATGGTTCTATACCATGAAAGAACAAAGAACCAGGATTCTGAACTCAGAGCTGCTTTTAGAGTATTTGATAAAGAGGGTAAGAAATATATTGCCTGAACACGCTCAAGTAAGTAAAACACAACAAAGTTGTAACAAAGACATCATACTTCTCCACTCTTGTTACACGGCACAAAAGTTCCCTAATTCAAATCAAGCTATAACATATTCTGCGAAAAACACAGTAAGCATGGATATGCTAATCAGACTGTTTTCTACACGGGGGTGTTAGGGTCACATTAAGAATAAAAATATTATTGTTCATTTTGAGCATAAAGGGAGGAAAAAGGTCAAAATGTGGAGATTAAAGTTGCCACGACTGCTATACGCTCTACAAAATGCCCTGTGTAGACAAGCTAGTGAAATCATACTTCGGGATCAGTATTAGTAAAAAATAATTATTATTTTTAGCACATACACACAGTGTGAGAAGTATAACACCATTGAAGAGATGGTGCAGAAAGCTGCTTCTGGTCAGAAGGAAAAAACACACAAATTTGAATGAGTTGGCCGGGTTTGCAAAATAAAATTACTGGAAATGGACAGATGCAAGGGTGTCGATGGTCACACTCTCATCCAGTCGTGTTGCATCACAAGACACAATAAGACAGCTCATCAAGTTGTTTCACTAACTCATCATACACAAGGTATTTTGTAGAGGGTATATCAGCCATGGCAGTGTTTGACTTCAAAAAAAAACAACAACTTTAACCTCCACATTTCATCTTCTTTCTCAAATTGGACAATAATTTATAATTTTCTTAATGTGGCCCTAATACGCCATCGTAGTTTCACTTAGTGTTAATTGGAATTTGTCTTTAGTATTTTTTTCATGTTTAATATCAATGTAGGCAGATGGAGACTGATTATGAAGGCATGTTATATGCATTCTCTTTTATATTTTATCATTTCAATGATTGTGATAAATTTTATTTTGTTCAAATCAATCAGAAAATGTTTAGTGTATCAAGTCATTATTGCTTTTACACATTTTATCTAAATCTACAAATGAGCTTCCTCTGAAGGGTGGCTGCCGGGTCTATTAGACATTGAGTTAGGAACTCAGTAATTCATGAAGGGTTTGAAACTCCTAACAGTCCACAATTAAAAGGATCCGGCTTATTTAGTTTTGGGATCTGACTAGGGTCCCTCTTGGGTGCTTACTCTGTGAGGTATTTTAGGCATATCCAACTAAGAGGAGATCCTGAGACAGATCTGGGTCCTTATTTTTATTTTTTCAGAATTTGTGGCAATGATGACTGGAAACTTGTTCAAAATGACCTGAAGAATCTACAGATTTTCTTAAAATCGACAAAAAAATGGAAAATAAAATGTGTTCAGTCACTTATCTGTGTGGTGATTTTTGTGCAACTGTGCAAATCCTTACCAGTGAAACAAAATTTTAATGCTAATTTCTTTGCTGGTTTCTTCTTCTGTTCATGTGTTCCTGGGGGAATTCGGGTCATTGAGGTTCGGACAGAAGACATCACAGGGTTAATTTCCTCAGACCTGCCACCCGGATGCAGTCATTCACACGGGTCTGACAGCATCTGGTGTGCAGTCCCATTAAATCCCATTCTCATCCTTGCAAAGCCAAACAGACAGCTGAGGGAGCCAACCACATTTATCATCTTGAAGCCATTAGACCAATTGCAGGGTAAAGGGGGAGGGAGCTTGCCGCACTGATCTCTGTTTGCAGCATCCCCAGAGCAACCTCTGCTGTGTGAAATACAAGAAAGGGCAAGACGACGGGAGTAGATCCTAGGAGGCTATCAAAGAACTGGAAAGGAAGATCTTGGGGGTTACCAGGGTAGGGTTTCTTTGACGTGTGGAAACCATCTTCAGAGAAAATGGCTGTTTTGTCAATGTAAACAGCTTGTCCAATACCTGCATTGCTAAAGGGGGAAGCAGAAGAGGAGGAGGGGCAAATACTGGAGCAAATGTTGCCTCTTACAGTGAAAATTCTCTGTCTTTAGCTGCCCCTAGTCTGCCGCAGGTCACCTCTGAGCATGCATGTTGTATGTTAAGGTACGTATGGATCTCTAATCTGAGAGGACACATGAGTAAGACCTGGTCCTGGTGGCAGGATTATTAGCTTCAGCTGTTAGTGCAGGACAGCTGAGATCCACTACACGTTAACTGAACATAACACGCATCCGTATCACATGGTAATACAATCATACAATCATCCTCACAAAGACCATGTAAAATGTTGCATGCTCCGTCTTTGTGGAGTGTAGGAATTGCTAACTGGACAAGAGCAATGACTGAATCCAGTCTTTGTTTTTCATTGGTTGGCTTCAGTTGCACATGTTCCTCATTAAGAGCACAAGCAGACAGGATGAGGAGGGAGGAATGGATCATATGTCTATGCCTTTCTGTGTCACCATATAACAAAATGGAAAGCATGTTCGTCTTTTAGCACTCCTCATATAATGTAAATCTTAAGGAAAAACTGCTTTGCACTCTCATGGGATGTGCATAGTACATGTACCAAGTCTTGGATGCAGAGGATATTTATGGAACCTGTGTGTGTGTGTGTTTGTGTGTGTGTGGGGGGGTGGATGTAAGTTGATTTTGATGTTAGAATACGCTGCCAACACATTTCCTCACAGTGCATATTGAAGTTTGAACGCTTACCATTCCGCTGAAATTCATGAAGCTTTTTTTTTCTGCATACCGATTTCCTTCTGTGCGTTTACGACCCACATCCTGCCCAAAACACCTACCACAACCCACTGGCACAATCACCATGGTTTGAGTAAATATGAGGGTGAGGGTTCCAAAAGTGAAATGTTAATTCTTTGCTTCTTCTTCTTTTTTCTTTTTTTTAAAGATCTAACTAAATCATGAGTAAAAAAGCAATAAGAAAATAGGATGTAAGCATTTTCATATATATGGTTATGGTTCATTCAATTCATTTTATCACATGAAACCTTCTACAGATTCATTGTAGCAAAATAGTTATCAGCTTCTCCTTCGTGTGTTAGGTTTTATTTTACAGATCTTATGGCCAAAGCACCGTCGATGCCTCAGGAGACGTCGGACCAGCACGAAGACACTTTTGCTGATCATGACACACACTAGAAGCTGAGCAGTATAACAGCATCTACACAAATAGTGAAGATCCACACTCCAGTTGGAACAGCTACACTCGAACATGGCTGCAAATGGAACTAGGACAACTACAAGTTTTTTCTCAACAACTGCCACAACCCCTACAACCTCCACGATCCCCTTCCTCTCGACAAGTCCTGGAAGCAGAGACAATATCACCTCAAGAATGTTAATGACTGTGACTATAACGACAAATGAGACCAATTTGAATGCCACCGCGTTGCCAGAAGTCGTGATTGAGAGCTCAGGCATGGGAATGTTGCTTGTACCTTTTGGCATCATCACAGTCATTGGCTTAGCAGTGGCAATAGTAAGGAATCATTTAAACATGGTCTCTTCAAAACCATTTCACACAGTATAAAACATAAAAGTTATTTAACTTTCTCCGTCATATCTTTGCTTCTCCATTCCAGATGCTGTATATCAGGAAACGGAAGCGGTAAGTTGCCACAACCAAGCAAGGCTGGATTACCATCTGTTTTGAGTCTTCACAAAAGGAAAATAATCAATTAACTCAACTAAAACATATCTTTATTAGGTATTTCATGGGTTTAAGCTTACATTGAGATCTAGTGCATAATCATTCCTGAAAAAAGCAAATCATTTGCTCAAATTAGTACCACTAGGATCACACAGAGGGCACCAAGTTTGGCTCAGTGTGTGTTCAACATGATTATTATGTTAATTTCAAAGTCTTTCCTCCCCCTTACTCATCTTTAACCTGTCATCACACAGGTTGGAGAAATTGAGACACCAGCTCATGCCCATGTACAACTTCGATCCAGCTGAAGAACAAGATGACCTGCTGGAACAGGAACTACTGGATCACGGTCGGGAAGGCAGCATCACAGGGCCCAACGCCAAGGTAGGACTGACAGTTTTTCTTTTTTTACTGTTTGTGTTTATTTTTATGTATAATCTGAAGATTTCAGTGCAGATTTTTTGTATGTTTTTCTTATGACATTGCTTTCCTGTTTAGTGTTTTCGCTGTCATAATTCTTTATTTTCTTTAATTCCTTTTAAGTTTTGACAATGGCATAGTTATAAAAGGCAAAAAATGGTAAAGTATGGCCTGTGTGTCGTTTCAACCATTTCTCTAAAACCCCCTTTTCTCACTACCCTTATTCTTTCATGCTGTCTTTGTATCTGTATCTCAAATAAACTACAACCTCTAATTCATTGACCTAATCTGCATTAGAGTATGTACATGGAGGACAAACAGCGCTACATCATACTGCCTTTTCCTTTGAACCTACATTCATATTACCTTTCACATCCTTTCCTTCTCACTCTTTCAACTAAATCCTTACACATAAACTACCCCAGGGGCCACATGAAGCAAACACATTTTCAGAGTTTTCAGATGTCGACTAAATCTATCCCACTGTGTCCTTGTTGATGTTGTGCATTAAATGCATTTGAAAGCCTAAAAATGGCTTTCAAACCTTAATATTTTTTTCAAAACTTTATTTTGGCTGTGTAAAACAACCAGGACAACGGCATCAATCAGTTTTATAACACATGCCGGTATTTTCATAATTCCGGATTTTATGATTTACATCATCTGTGGTCTGTGGCTTCTGGCACAGTCTGTGTAGGTGATCTTATTGTTCTAAAAGTAGCAAAACATTACTGGGAAAAGAATAATTTAGTTATTGTTATAGTTTCCTTCTGTCTTTTATTACTAATGACACTATAAAGCTTGTGTCATCACATGATCTTAATGTAACGGTTTTCGCTTTCCTGCTTTCTGCTACCGCTTTCCTGCAGACTCTTACAAGCTCCCAAGGGACAACACAAAGGCCCAGTCGTCTTGTCTTCACAGATGTAGCCAAAGCTCTCAACGCTTAACAGCTCTCTTCCATTGGATAAAATCAGTTTGCGAGGTTTGCTGGCCTCTATAAAGGGAAACCAGACTGTGTGGCGGAGCAACTGGAGCTCTGATGAAGGTTATCGTCACCATGCGTGGAACGGCAGCGGTTGCATGTATGGTGGAGAAGGGCAACGGGAAGCATCACGTATGATCTTGCACTGTTATCATATGGGCACACAAATGAAGTGGGATGCACTTTTTTTAAGGGAAAAAAATCATGTCATGTCATTGCTGTTAAAATATTCGGTAGCTTGTCAGGAAAGTTCTTCTGAGCTTCAGTATCTACGTCTATGTTTCATAAAAGAGAAGTGTATATCTGTGTTCTAGTGATTTTTTTTTTTTGGTCCTACATTCCTGACAAGATTCAAAGCTGGATGTGTTTCCATCCTTAAGTAAAGTGTTTCTCCCCAGTCGGTTTATTCTTTTGTGAGCGTTTAAGGATTGTCTCTCTGCGTGTGTGTACATTAAAGTTATTTAAACCTTTTTCTAACGAAATGTTCTTGTTGTACAAATCTAGAACAAAGGAGTTGATAGGTGATATTTTATTAATAAGTGATGCGCAGACGTTGAGTAACACAAATCACAAGGTAAAGAATCAAAACAAAATATATATCACAGGTTTGTGAGTTCTATTAAGGAAGTGGATGAGGACACATCAACACATAACATAACTACAAAATGGTGTTAAGAGTAAGGCATAAAAAGTTGATTTCTCAAGTTACACTTCAACCTTTTCAAGAGTTGAAAATGGATCAAGTACTGTATGTAACTATATAACTATCAGTAAAATCACAAAACATTGTCCCCATTTAGAGAGTAAATATCTAGACAGCTCTTGTAAAATAACACACATTGACTCAGCTGTAGTTAAATTAAAAGGCACCCTTTAAGGCTGACTTCCATTCACTTATGGTCATATGAATGTAGTGAGATGAGTGATGTGGACTACAACAGTACTAGTTTGACAGTTACTTCAAAATTTCATGATCCACATGACCTGCAGGTCTAATGGGAACTATTAGACATATTTAACCAAGAGTTTCCCCCAGAGATGACCCCGGCGTGTTGGTTTTCAGAGGTAGTCCAGGGAGCATAGTCAAAAAAAAAAAAAAAAAAGCAAAAACAACCCAAAAGCAAAAAACAAAATTAAAGTCAATGCAGATGAACACTGAATCAATATCTAATCCGGCTGCAATTTTGTCAACAATGCTGAAATACATGAAATGACTGAAATACAAAATATCAGTGATAATATGAGTACATTTTACGTGGAAGAAACATATATACAGTAAATAATGGTGATATTCAAGTAATGTGCAGTAATTAGCAACTTGTAAGTGATATCTAATTTGGATAAATGTTCACAAAACGACTTCTCAAAACATTTTTTAAACTACATGGAGGCAGGAAATTTCTTAACCTCTGATGTTTTAGACATAAAGGATTCAGTCATTTGTATGAGAAACATCTCCATGAGGGAAAAAGACATCCTGAGCTCTCCAGATTATTCTATATATCTATGTGGCTACTTATGTTGATTCATGATAGAAACCAGATTTACTATCTACGAACATACATAATATATATATATATATATATATATAAAATACCTTTAACGTTCAATTACATTTTTTTTTGTAAATTTCATTTCCCTGCATTACTGTCTGGTGCCAGAGACAGTGCTGTGCAAAAGTCACTCATTTCTTTAAATTTTGCTAGGAAATTTGGAAATAGGTGCACCAACTTACTGAAACATTTAGACACATGGAAATACAGTTTCTAAGGAAAAAAACTCAATATTTGGTATGACCACATTTATTCTTTACCACAGCCTGAACTCTCTTAGGCAACCTTTTTGTAATTTCTTTAAGTAGTCTTCAGGAATAGTTCTCCGGGCTTCTTGAAGGACATCAAAGCTCTTCTTTTGTTCTGTTCTCTTTCAAGATGAGCCCACAATGCTTCAATAACGTTGAGGTCTGGGGTCTGAGGAGGCCAATCTAATTTGTATTCATCAATCCATAAGCCCCATTGACACCGATTTTTGGTCCAGTTTTTGTGTAATTTGGCATACCTCATCCTTTTCTCCTCGTTTCTGCCTTAAGAAGGGCAGAAAACCATTTCTGATGAGGCTTGAACACTAAATAAATCAGCTAAAGCATAGGTGTCAAACTCTGGCCCGCAGCCTAATTACATTTGGCCCGCGAAGCCATACCAAATTATTATTAGAGATGGCCTACTGGTATTATACAGCTAATATATATATCGTTTAGTATTAAGCTTTGCTTGTTCCATATTCAGTTTTCCAGCAAAACTTATTTGATCCATAAGAAAAGATTCATTCTTATATCTGGAGGAAGATTTTTTTTTTCAATAAATATTAATGTTAGCCTGCAACTTTGTTCCAGTTTTGAATTTTGGCCCACTGTGTATTTGAGTTTGACACCCCTGAGCTAAAGGGTCAGGTATACCCTTCAGGTCCTGTATCAGGGCTTTGCTGGATTTTCTTTCTAGTAGATCTTTAGGAGTCACCTTGTTGGAGCAAAACTAGTATTTGCCTGAAAAACTGTTATATTTTGTAGATTCAACTAAAGAAGTCTTTGTTCTTTTTAAGCGCCCAAAGATACTTACAAAGAACTTATAATTGGTTATTTGCCAAGTTGTCTGTTATGTGTAGACACAGCACTCTTCATCCCTTGAGTTAGGTGCCTTTTTTATGCGTGAATGATTCCCAGCACAGCGTTTAGTGGTTTAACGAACAAAAACATTTCTATATAAATGGTCAGCTACAAAGACTGGATTGAAAGTAGCCAATATCCAAAGAAAAACTTTGAAAGACCTTCAGAAAACCTGGAGAACTATTGCTCAAGTCCACCTAAAAAATTACAAGAAAGTCTGGCTCCTTGTATGCAAAATATAGAAATGATGGTGACTTTTGCACAGTAGTGTATTCATGGTGAAAAATACTACATTCACTTTTTCTGGTGGCATGCAGCTAGTTCTGAATTAATGTTTCTATTTGAAAATCTCCCATTTCGTTTTTTTTTTTTTAAAGATTTCTGAATGCAATGGAGATGAACTGAGTTTTATTTATAGAGTTCTTACAGACTGGGAGTTACCACAGTATGTTAGTGTGGACAAGTCTTAAACCACTTTGTTAACATTTTCTTAAGTAGAAAGTAGCTTCAACAGAAAATGTTCATTAAGCACCACAAAATAAATCCCATGCACTTTGTTGCATTGAGGTGTACGTACTGTAGCTATGTAGCTGCATGCTTTTAGAGGTAAGTGAAACAATCCTTTAAAGGAAGACTGTAAAATTTGCAACAAGATATGATGCACTTCCTCTCTATGAAACTAAATAAAGTTAAACTTGTTTAATTGATAGACCATAAAATGCACTCCCAATACCTTCAGTACAACGAGGTGTTTTGTTGCTATAGCCTTAGTCGGTCTGGTATGGCCGGTGCCTGAAGTTAGCCATAACGCTTATGTATTTCAGCACTTTGTGGTTATTTGCTGCCATGTATTAAGAGTGTCACACATACAATTTACAGTGTAAGAATCAGAAAATACATGATAGAATAAAAATGAGAAAAGAATAACAATCCCCACCCCACCCCCAAAAAACAAAAACAAGTATTTCATGAGGAACTGCACCCTAAAAAGCAAGTATTTCATCAGGTTGTTGTAAACTATTGGCTGCATTTTATTTCCCAGGAGAGCAAACAAACAAAATCTCACTTCAGTTTATATCAAATACAGTTAAAAAAAAAAAATTATACTGATGCTTTTATTTGTACTCCCCGACTGGAGTGTAACATCTGCTTCCACATGTTGGCCTGCAGCCCTGAAAACCTCGTGTTTAATCGTACTGTATATCTGCACAAAAACCTGTGTGTGTTTGCGCGTGTGTGTGTGTGTGTGTGTACAGTAATTGTGTATATCACTGTTGAGGGAGCGAAGGATTACTTTGCAGGAGATCATTTTGTGTTACTGAGGTAGAATGAGAGATTAAGAAGCTGAAGGTAACTGAGGTTTAAATGAGGTCTTTGTGTCAAGGCATACTGGTAATGTCAAATACAGATCAGAAATGCACAACAAACACAGCACCATAATTATTTCTGAGTAGACAACATGTTCCTGAATAGTTTTGTACCTGAGGTTTCAATATGGTGTAAAAGCACTGTTAATAGTGAAATCCTGAGTGAAAAAAAATGACATGTCAACATCCTTGTTGACTAAATGATGTGTGAAGGGTTTCTCTTTTCTAAATGAAATATTCAAACAATTTCTCTCAAATCAGCTGCTGGATTGAAGAAAAACAAAACCCTGGATCCAATTTAATCTTCTTTTTTTTTGTAAGGAGCCCCTGCCCCACACCTCAAATAATTTGATATTTCATTTTCAGTTTAAACCTTTCACACAACTTTCATCATAATGACTTCAGCGCACCATGTCTATATTGTAACGATGTTTCATACGAGGGTTTGTGATATTTGATTTAGAAACATGTTTCAATAAAAACAATTCAGTTTGGTTCCTTTGTTTTTCTTAACCAGTCTCATTTCAGCCAGCAGCCTAGTCCCCTCTCCATGCAACCGCCGCACATACGCGCTCACACTCGCTCACACGCAACCATGCACACTAAGGGGCTCAGGAAAGCTGGCATACTTGTAGGAATAGTTCAATTTTTATGGGAAATGCACCCTTTTTGTTTTTCCTTCACTGCTTAAAGTCACATGAGAAGCAGGCACGTCTAAAACGACCACAAAAACTGCTTTTACATTTTTAGATTTCAGAAATGAGACAATATGTGTGTGCGAGCTTCAGAGATGCTGCAGGTATGAACGGCATATTTATATGTGAAAATGGTATGTCTCAAGTGCATTTCCCAAAAAGTGGAACTATTCCTATTCAATAAACCTTACTGAAAGATCAAATACTCCAATGTTAAAACACAGTTTGCTCACCAAAAATCCAAAACTCTTAAAAAATTTATAACAAATCCAAGGTATCACATCAGGAGAAGAAATTACTGACTGCAATTACTTTTGAGTGTGTGTGTGTCTGTGTGTTCCTGAATCCCCATCACAGATAGGAGTCAGATTTAAACCCCTGTTTATCGGAGGCCAAACCTTGAGGTAGGTAGAGAGGTGCCCTATCTACTCCCCTTCCTCCTGTGCTGCCGCCTGAGATGACGAGGGACCCTCCTCAGCCTCTTCTGAAGCGCCCTGGAACAGCAGGACACCCAAAAAAAAAACAAAAACAAAAAAAACCCAAAACACTTTTTCACTTTGTTGTTATCTCTTTTGGTCTACTGACTCATGATGCTCAAGCACATGAATCAATACTAGAAAACGCACGAGAATACAAGAATGACTGTTAAAATCTCATGGAGCGATTGCGTGCGAGGAAGCAGGTTCCAGCTGTCAGACCCAGAAATGTGAGGAAGATGACGGTTACATCAGGAAACCAAAAAGACAGGGGAAGAGAACAGTTAGAGCAGGTTTCCCCTCACTATATTGACTCATTCTTCCCCTTCATGTGTGTGCGTCTGAGAAATGGAGTCTGTCTCAACGGTTTCAGTTCTTAAAGCATCTCAACCCCTTTGACAAACTGCTTAGTGGAGAGGATGCGATAAGACACACGAGGGGCATCAAGAGAACTGCCCCGCTTCGGTGAGAACTGTTGTGCAACTTCATTTGAAATTCAAAAAAAAAAAAGAAGAAGAAAAAAAAGGGCTAAACGAACCAAAGTTACAGAGAAGCACTTGGTGTCACAAGACGATGTTTCTGGCGGTTTATCTGGGGAATTTAGCAACGGCATCTGTGAATTTTCAAGAATTTGGCATATCCTCATGAAGTCAGTGTACATGAAGCGCAAGAAGCATGTGCATTGGCAGCTTTGCTATCAAATGTGCTAAGGTAATGACTTTTTAAGTGGTTTTATAGTTGCATTTTAGTAAAAATGTGCCAAGGCCTGAGAAGGTTATAACATACACAAATCCTAGGAGTACTGAACTGAAACACAGCATTGCGCAAAGTGAAATCCATATATTTAAAAAGAGCAGATACGCAACATGCAGGGGAGTAAAAAGGATTAATTAAAGACAATGT